ACTGCAGCAGTGATAAAGGTAAGTGAGTTTTATTGTCATTGGCTTTGGTTTTTATTTTAAACAAAACAATGTATACATATTGTTAGTAGTAAAAGAGTTGGTTAAGGTTGTTCGTCTTAATAGGTTTTAGCTGAAGTGACCATTCTGTCCATTTTTAATTAAAGTGACACTATAGTCACCTGAACAACTACAGCTTAATGTCAGTCCGTGGAGACTTTTTACTGTAAACACTGCTCTTTCAGATAAAAGGCAGTGTTTATATTAAAGCATAGTGACTTGAGGCGCTTCCTGGGGAAGTGGTGCACAGTGTGCAGCACTAACATTCAGTGTCTCCACGCTCTGTATGGAGACGCTGTACTTTCCACATAAAGATGCATTGATTCAATGCATCTCTATGAGGAGATGCTGTTTGGCCAAATTTAATAAAGGCCATTTACAAAATAACAAAGATTTTGGTACAGTCCTGCTATAAACACTTTCCATTAGTATCTCTGTAATCCAGTGGGTACAGTTATATTATACTGCAAAGTTATGAGTCACAAAATATATTTAGAAGCCAATATTTTTTATGTTTGTATTTTTTGAGCCAGTGAAAAAACACCATAAGAGTTTATTCACTAAACAGAAAATTGTGGTAAGTTGATAATAAAATCACAAAATTAAGGCAAACGTTCTGATTTGAAAAATATTATCTGACTCAGCTTTCCAGTTTGTTTTTCAATTCATTGTTTAGTGAACACATCCTATAGAGTTCTAAAAAGGCCATACCTGTTCAATAAAAACTCAGAACCAGCAATTATATGGTGTCTCCTGCGGTAATCTTTGCCCTGCAGTAAAGGTACAGATATGTATAGTGTATTTTAGGTTTCAGGTAAGCATTCGTAACTAGTAACATAACCCTGGCTGAGTTTCAGTATTTCCATGGGGTCATGCCCTAGGCAGAGATATGACATATATTAAAACTGGAAGAAATGTCTTAACATGACAGAACCATAAGTCACTTAATACCTGCTGGGCTTCTATTTTCCTCCTGTCATTCTGTTACATGTAAGTAATGCTGATATCTATTATACAAATGATCAGTATATAATGGTCGGCTGGCTGTGCCTGGGTAAAGTTATAATGTTATACTATATGTGAAAAATGTATCATATAATTTTTTACCATTATTTACTAAACTGAGAATTGTACTGAATTAGAATTAAAATGGCAAAAAGTGGCCAAGCCGGTGCTATGGATGATTGACTAAACCAGCAGTTTTTGTTTACATTGTGCCATTGAGATTTCAATTTCCTGCACGTATTCAAAGTGAACTTAAAGTGAATTTGAAATTTTAGATAACAATAGTTACAATGCAGCTGATTTTGCCTAAATTTCTAATTTACTTTGAATTTAATTTGAATTCCCGACAATTTAAACTTTAGTTAATAATCCTGTTGATGTCAGGGAGCCATTATCGGGATTGTGAAATCAATGCACTAATGAAAAAAGTGCACAGCAAATAGTGTAAACTAAATATCGGGAGAGGAATAGTTGAATTACATTTTTAAGAAGAATACAGGGTTAATAATAAAACATTGTACTCTAAATATAATCTGTCCTTGCAAATCCAGAACAGGCGATAAAGCATGCTCTATGTTGCTAGCTCTGGAGCAGAAAGGGTTAAAAACAGTAGAAAGGTCAAACTGTCTGTAACTACCTCCCCCTCTACCTGTTACCTACATCCCAGACACTCTGAACCAGAACATAAACAAATCTTCCATTTCTCTCACATACTGTACCCAAAAGGCTTGAAGTGACAGAGCTGAAAAACAGGATTTTTTTTTTTACAGTGACATCGACAAAGTGACTACGGCAAAGGAAAAAAAATGATTTAGCTTAGCTGGCCTATGATTAATGACCACTAATGTTTATATACTGAGACAATGTCTGGGGAATAGACAACACAGGTGCACAGTGTCTGCACTTGCGTTATCCTAAAATCACTCACCTGTGTGATTGTCTGAACCCCATTACCTAAGAATTATTGGAATGAACAAAAAGGCAGTTAGTAGTTGGATATTTTAAAACCTTGTGCAATGACCAACAAAATATTATTTGTGGTAAATTTTGTCTCCAAAAAAATACCAATAATATCATTAGATCATATGCACTCACAACAAGGAAACACTTTACATAAGAGTTCAAATGGGGCAAAATTCCAAACAGTCCTTTAAAATCTTAACCGCACAATGGGAAGAAGTGCTCTACATACTTTTAGAATGACAAGGCATCATGGAAGCTGTAGTTTTATAAACATCTGGGGATCTATCTTTTGGGCACTTGTGGGTTAGAGCGACATTTATGTGCTGTCAAAACCCCAATGTAATATAGACTAATGTACCAGGTTAATAAAAAAAACAAAAAAAAAACATTACAAACCAATATTGTTTTAAAGCAGAATCACTTATTGAGATATCTTATAAGTCACTGTTGCTTATCACACAATCACCCAGGAATCAGTCATGGAGTTAAACAGGTTGGGTAATAAAACAAATAACCAAGGTTGTCTAGTCATATATGGACATAGCGGGGAATGTGATGCAAATAAGAATAATGGAACCTACCCAAATACCCCCTGTGACGAAATCCACTTTGCCACTGGTTTTTGGAGGGGCCTACCCTGGGACTATGGGCACTGTGATAACCCATGTTCAAAGGTATTGTTGCTGTCCCTTGAACTTTTAACTAGAATAGATTCAAACATGTGGAGGTGGCCATCTTAAATTGTCCAGCAGTGTTTTTCCGTTGAGTGTATGGAACTGTTTTGGGCATGGGACCATGTGCACGGTGGGGCAAAAATAAGACTTCCAGGAAATTCCTGATCCCCTGAACTGATCTGGGGGATTTATAGATATGTTGTTCACCCAGATCGGAGCTGTCAGGGGATGTGACTTTTGTGGGGATATGTTGTATTTCGGGGTACCTTCTGGGGTTTGTAAAAATGTATGTTTTTTTCTGTTTAGAGTTAATTGAGTTATTCCATTGTCTTAGTTAATTGTATCATAGGCAGAGGGGAGGGATTGTGTGCTGTAAGTGGGAGTGTCGGACATTGTTGTATTGTTCTGATTGGTTTGTGTCCTTTGTGTGCCTGTACTCCATCAGGTCCAGGGGGTGTGTCTCTGTCCTGAGGAACTGTATACAAGCAAACCTGTACCAATAAAGCCTCAGACTTGTTCTACCCTTCATGAAGTTTTGGCTCATGTTTCTAACCCAGAGTATAATCACTAAGCTCTTGTAAGAGCTTGTTCCTGTTCCTGCTCTCTGGATTAAGAGAGGTCTACCTACAGGAAGCTGGATCCTGGTCTTGGGTCCAGAGTGGGTGGAGGACGGCGAGACCCCAACCAACCTGCAGCGGTTTGTGGGGTCTGTGGTGGTTATGGTGTCTAGTGGAGTGCTTGGAGCCCTCGGGAAGCACTAAGGGCATCCATCAACGGAGGTACCCAGTCGGGGTGCCAGGCAATCCATTACACCCCCCAATAACGACAGACACCGAATTTGGATGAAACAGGCCACAGCATTTATTAAACATAAGACTGTAGGACTCATCCAACATTTATTCAACTTTATCATTTAATTATAACCAAAGATAAATACATAAATAATCCATAACTTAACATATAATTATTAACACTTAATGCCCTACAGACTTAGCTTACATAAACGTCCTTGCCAATGAAAGAGACCCCGTGCCTATGCATCAACTTGCCCCAGGGTTCTCGCCTCCCCCCTCATCCAAACCAAATTCCCTTTTCCTTTTAATGCTCACCACCAGCCGGCTCTTAGATCGGTGGGCACGTCCAAATCGGTAACTTAAAAGTTTACCCTACAGAGCAGAAGAGGTTGAGACCCGACCTTGTCCATATCCTGACACTCCATGTAATAGCCCCCAAAACCTATTGGCAAGGACATGGTATTTTTCTTTCTCCTTCTCCAATTCCTTGCTGTCCTTCTCCACCAGTGGAGTAGACTCCTCCATTGGCAGGAGGGGGGAAATCTCGACAAATACTCCCTTCCCAATATTTTCCCTAACATCCTCCTTCAGGTGTAAACCTAGAGGTTCATAACAGCACATATAAGCGGACCCCCACGCAAGGTCTGAAACACCCAGAAAGTCACCCGTCGCGGTGGAACCTCAATGTTGAGGTAGCACCCAACGCCGCAGAAGGAACACTAGTGACACTAGGCATGGGTGAGGGGGACCCCATAACCCCTTGCACCACTTGAGGTTGCTGCGCGGTGGACAAAGCGGACCGAAGGTGCCTATCTAAGAGGGAATCCATGCACGCATACGCCCCATGTTCCCACTGATCCAGAATACTCCTAAGACCCGCTAGGAACCCCTCCAGCGAGGGACCCCCTGACTTTAATGAAGAAATAGTACCGTACTCACCAGCCGATGCCCATTGGTCAACCTGCAGCAAAGGAAATGATGAAGAACCTGGCAGGATTGAGGTAAGTCCAGTTTCACCACTATTCAGCCTTGCAGGAGTTCCAGGCGCCACCTGCTGGGCAGTCCCAGGAACAGCAGCCAGGTCCTGTGAGCAGAACAGCTAAGAAGAGGTAAGCTCACACCCCGCAGAGGAGGGCAGCTGAGGTAAGTAACCTGGGGAGAAAGGGGGAACAGAGGGACCAGCAGGGGACACAGGGAGGACATTAAACAACATTTGAAATAAAGGAAGTGTAAACATTAGATGACTCTTTACAGGACGTGTTTAGGATGCAGTCAAATGCAGAGGGATGTGACTAGGATGCATAAACAAAGTAATTTAACTCCTAAATGGCAGAGATTTGAGCAGTGAGACTGCAGGGGCATGATCTATAGACATGTGCAATTCGTTTCGTCCCGAATGCAAATTCGGCTTCCGAATGTCCGAAGTGCCGAATTGCAGAATTTCCGAAGTGCCGAATTTCCGAATTTCTGAAGTGCCGAATTTCTGAAGTGCCGAAGTGCTTCGGATTTCTGAAAAAAGACAAAACAGGAGAGGGTTGGGGTTGGGGTAGGGTTAGGGTAGGGTTAGTGGTTGGGGTAGAGGTAGAGTTAGGGGTAGGGTTAAGGGTTGGGGTAGGGTTAGAGGATGGGGAAGGGTTAAGGTTAGTGGTTGGAGTAGGGGTAGGGTAGGGGTAGGGTAACCCTATTCTTAACCCTACCACTAACCTTTCCCCTAACCCTAACCATACACCTAACCCTACCCTACCCCTAACCCTAACCCTAAACTTACCCCTTACCCTACCATAACTCTACTCCTATGACTGCTCCTAACCTAACCCCTAATGCTACCTCTAACTCATCCCTAACCCTACCCCTACTCCTGAACTAACCCTACCCGAACTCTACCCATACCCCTACCCTTACCCTTAACCCTACCCCTAACCCTACCTCTAACCCTACCCTTAACATACCCACACTCCTAAACTAACCCTACCCTAACCCTACCCCTAACCAAACCTAACCCTACCCTTAACATTACCCTTAACCTTACCCTAATCCTACTCCTAACCCTACCCCTAACCCTGTGGTGGAACCAGCCTCACCACTGGGCATTGGAGAAGACTGCTTGCCAGCCTCCTACCCTGCGACTATGGCCTTGAGATGTATTGCCCTTCTAGGAACTGATTTGGGCATAATAAATTTTTATTATGCTGCTGCTGGCCCTTTAAGAACCATCTGGGGACATACTGTGGAGTTACTGGGTGGCCACCATTTCATATATCAGAGGCACATGGTGAGAACAATGGATGAAGCACATGGTGAGAACAATGGATGGCGGCCATTTTAACTCACAGACACTGTTTGGACTTTTCTACACGGTGCCATCTCGCCGGTATTTGGTGCACAAAAACATTGTGCAGTAGTTTTAAACTATACAACAGGCGACACATTATACAGTAATTATTTTTCACATAGCCTGTATATGTTCTGCGGAATCTGCATTAAACTGTATCTTCCAAACTACTGAACGGATCTGGGTGAATTTTGGATATGTGGTTCACCCAGATCCCCCAGTTCCGAGGATATGGTGTTATTGCATGTTTTGGGCTCCCTGTGATATGTTTTATAATACTGTATTTCTCTGCCTGTGATAATTAGATTAACTATTGTGTTCAGTAATCATAGCACAGGCAGAGGGGAGGATTTTGTGTGGGAGTGTCTGTGTGTATTGTACGGATTGATTGGTTGTATTTCAAAACCCTGTGGGCAGTACTATGTTTGTGGATTGTGAATAAAAGAGGCTGTATGTGCCAGTACAGTCAGTTTTGCTTGACCTCAAAACAAAGTGTCGTCTCGTTATTGGGGGAATTGGATTGTATGCTGATTGCCAGGAGTGTAAGCTGATTGTAAGCTTTTCCTGTTTAGCTGCTTACAGCATTCATATGCTTGAGAGCATTCGCATGCTTCTCCGGTTCGGTGGTTGTGGTGTCTGCTGCAGTGCTTGGAGTCCTCAGGAAGCGCTAGGAGCATCCTTCAATGGAGGTACCCAGTCGGGGTGCCAGGTGATCCGTTACAAACCCTACTCTTAAACCAACCCTAACCCTACCTCTAACCTAACCCTACCTCGTACCTAACCCTACTCTTAACCCTACCTCTAACCCTTCCCTAACCCTACCCCTACCTTAACCCTAACTGTACTGCTAACCCTACCCTATCCCTAACCCTACCCTAAATTTATCCCTATCCCTAACCCTACCATAACCTTAACCCTACCTCTAATCCTACCGCTAACTCTACTCTAACCCTACCCCTAACCTTAAACCAAACCCTATCCCTAACCCTAAACCAACCCTAACTCTACAGTAACCTGAAGTCCCGAAGTACCAAAGTTCCGAGGTGCCGAAGTTCAGAAGTTCCAGAAGTGCTGAAGTCCCGAATTTCAGAATGCCGAACCGAACAGAATCTTTTTCCCATGTACATCCCTAATGATCTATACACCAAAACTGCTTCTTTAAGCTAAAGTTGTTTTGCTTACTATAGTGTCCCATTAAATCCAGGTTCATCTTTTTGTTATCCTTAAGTACAAAATAACAAACAAACAAGGTAACTGTTACCCATCAGCACTAAAATCATATAAATTCTGAAGAAAAGAAAACACTGAAATTGACCAATTTGTTTTAAATACGGTTTCCCATTTTAATTTCAGAGTATAAGTGATCAGCAAATGTTTCAGGGCATTTACAATACAGAAGGGGATCTGTCCCGATCATTTGAGGCTTTGCTAATATAATAGGATATTATCTTTAAATTCAATTTGGCGGAGGTGCCACGTTTTTTGAGGATTTTTTGATGGCTCGTTAAAAAACATTTACAGCTCAAACAACACTATATTCATATATGGCACCAGATACTCTCAAAGTAGAATTTGGCTGTATCTATGCAAAGAAAAAACACCACAACTACCTGATGCCTACTCACATAGAAAGATGTTGGGGAGGAGTGCCATAAAAATCGCAAAAAGTATCATTGTTGATCAGGATATACTTTGATATTCATATATTCAGCAACAGTGCGTATATATAACATAAATAACGCTTTCAATTCTACTGCAACATGAAGCAAATATGGATAAAAACATTTGGTTTTAAAAGGGTGACCTTAATCACCTTATGATCGCAGTTAAATATTTCAGAGAAAATAGACTAACACTGCAGTTAATAGTTTGCTTTTGGGAGTCTGTGCATGTTTTCTAGTTACAGAGCTTTATCCTATTCTGAGACAGGGCAAAAACCATTCATCCACAGCAGGCAGACCAGAGATGCTGCCAAGAGATTGATAAGAGAAGTGTTCAGGCCAAGTGCAGATGATGATTTACTGCTCTGTTCTTAAACACTTCCTCGGGTCAGCATATTAAGCCTTAATGTAACACCTTAACTCTGCTTATTGCCCTGTGAAATGCTGTGTGAGACTGAGCCTGTGTTTCCTCTGCAAAGTGGGGGAGTGTCTGACACCCTTAAGCAATGTGCAGAGAAGTAAATCAGAGATCTGGCTCTTTTGTTAGTTTAAATGATATCTGTGACCTTACGAATCAGTAAATACCATTCTGAGTGCTGGAAAAAGATGATTACAGGAAAATGGGAAAAGAACAGTTTTACAAATATAAAAGATGTTCTTTGGCTTGTCTAAAATGTAGGTGTGTTTCTTTTCAAAAGAAAAAGAAAAAAAAAAAACATTTAAATGATGCGTTTCATATAGATGTACTTTCTTCCATGTTGGGCTATCACCATACATTAATACGTCAAAGCAAAATCAATATTTTACTTATTACTATATTTAATTGTATTAAATGCATTTTAAATTGACATTGATAGCACCATAACAACTACAGCCTGTGGTTATCAGTGGTGACTGGTAAAGTTTTAACTGGTGTAGTAGGCTCCACCTTCAGATTTTGACTGTTTCCCTGTAACCACCATTTTGTGACTGATTAGCTCTGTCTGCTTAACCTGAAGTACCTAACCTCTAATAGAAGTCCCCTTAGAATACACATAGCTGCATACAATACAGAACTATCCATAATATACACACAGCTAAGTAAAATAAAGAGATATTCATACACTACATAGAGCCAGATACAATACAGATACTTATAAAATACACAGAGGTGAGTACAATACAGAGATATTCATACACAGACCTGGGCACAATACAGAGAATTTTCCCCAATGCATCATTATACGTGTTTGTGCTATGCTCAGGGCAAAAAATACCCGGCAGTATCTGCCCTCAGTGGGCTGACGTTAGATGATTGGCAGTCAGTCTGGTGTGCACTCACGCCAGGCTGACCGGCCACTAATTTTGGTGGGCCACCCACTTACCAGGTGGACCTGCCCCCCCCTTAAGTGGAGCCCATGACACAATCGGTTCGTTAACCTGCCTTTTTATCCCCAGTGTTCCATTACTCTGGAGGCCAGACTTAAGAGGAATGGTGTCATGCTGCTTTAACACTGAGCACTGTATTATGTAAGCATGCTGTGCACTGATATCTTGCAATTTTAGTGACTTTTATATCCTTAGTTATACTGCAGATTGATCATAGGACATTGAAACTAATCAATTAGAAAAAGATAGAAAGTTACTGATATCATTAGTTATCTCAGCACTGTTTGTTGGGTGTTTATTAATGAGCCTCCACTGGTGGACATTCAGCTCGGAGGCTACTGGCACTGCACACTATTTTTGTGTCAAACTGCTCTCAAATGGTTTCACAAACACTAAGGGTAGACCAAGTGGGTCCACTGGTCATTCACCGTGCTGCCAATGCAGAAGTTATTCTACATTAGTAGTGTTAACTTCATCCATATTTGGATGACAATAGTTGGAAGAGAGCGCTAACTGACATGCTCAGCCAATCAATACAATCCAAACTTGGACATAATTGATTATGCTAACCCTGGCTGAGGTCCCAATACCTTCATTGTTAATGTAGTAGTGTAATGTGGCTAGTAAGGGGCAGGGCAACAGGATTATGGGAGACTTTGGGTTGCTTCTCTTGTGCATTTCTCTCTAACATGTCTCTATTTAAGCTCTTCACTTTTATTCAGTCCCCCTGTCTCTTTCTCTTACTACCTTACATTTGTTAAACAAGATAAATTATCCTAAATTACTTCTGCTCCAGCATGGTCTCTGCGTGGCGGCCTTTTGTTTCGTGACTGCTTGGCAATAGTCAGAGGTGGGAAAAAGGTCAGCATTAGCCTGGACAGCCACATACTGGAGCCGTCAGTATGTAGCTGTGCTTAATGTGTGCACTGCTGTGAACTAATGATGAGGAAGAGGAAGGGGACATCACTGAGAGGTATTGGACCTCTCTCACCCCACCCACACCATTATCTGTAGGTAATCTGTCCCCACCATACCCCTGCTCTCTAAACCCATAGTGCATAGCCACCCTAGTCAGAGGCAGATGGTTACCACTTAAATCTGAAGTGTGCCGTTCCTACCTGTTCTTGGGAAATGTAAATTAGCACAGCAAATAAATACGACCTAAAATGATCCTTCATTTACTAAGCAGGTGCTGACCAAGAAAGACACATTTACAGTAGAACAAAATTCTGTGTTACATTTGCATTGTTTTAAAAATACTTTAAAATAATCCCTGCAATGTTTGTAATAATAAACACTGTAAAACTCCCATAATCTTTAATGTTCATCAAATATAGGAATATAATAAGATTTGATCTTATAATTAATTGTAAATAATGTGATATCCCTTTCATTGTATGCCTGGCTAACAATATCATTATGGAATAAAAGGGGTTACTCTGTCCTCAGGTAGAGACTTTGTTGGATCTTCTAAGCGTGCCCCACTGATAGCAGGTGCCCAGAAGCTACAGATATACAATCTTGGGTTAAGGCTATT